GCGGAGGCAAAAACAAATGGGCAGAGTTTCTTTCACCCTGATGCCTCTGTTCACCTAGCAGTAAATAACTACCAGGGAGTTAGACAGCTCCTACGGGCTGCTTCCTGGGGATGTGTAACAAAAAGGAGGCCTGGTCGAGGACCAGGCCACAGGAACGCTAAACCCCAAAATCATCTCGAGGTAACCTCAAGATGGTCTTTAAACTGCTAAAGATTTGAATCTGGTGATATATATACAAGGACAATCACCACATTTAGAATTTTTATTTCGAGTATCAGCACTTCCACCTTATCATTTGTGGTGTTTAGCAGCCGAGTGCAGATGGGTGTCTCTTTGATGTTCAGGCTGACCCCACCCTGTAGCCTATGTTTCTATCACAACTGAAAAAGACTGAATTCTAGTATTCATTTCTCCTTGTGATAATAGTCCATTGTGTGAGCTTCAGTCAAAGCTGCAAACATTGCATTTGCCTCTTGTAGGAGGCCAGGTATAAAGTGGACTTTTGTTTTGCATGTTTTGATGCATTGTAGTTTGGCAAATAAGAAAGATGTTAACATATTTGTGGAAGTACAGGGGTATTTTACTTGGTATTAATATCTGTGGTTCTGGTAGAAGTGCCACATTGTTCGTGTCCTGTCTAGCATTCGACTGAGTTGATGGTAGAGTCTGGACATTTTTTGCTATTCTTTTCCTCTTTCTCTTAGTAAAAAATCTCCCTGGTATGTATGGGTGTTGCTCTATTTATAATGGCATTCTTTTGATTTTATTCACTTGGTGCCTTTGATATGAAATGTTGGGCAATCTCTTATGTTATTCCTTCTTGTTTAGTGAATTTTTACACAGGTTTGGGTGGAAAAATTTGCAATTTTCAGAGCAACGTGTACCTTTATAATTAGAATATTTCTGCAATTTCTTAGGAGTTTATATTCACATATTCTATTTGCTCTTCCTGATAGCTAATATTTATATACACCCCATACATAATATTTGCAGATACCTGGTTCATGTTTTTTTTTTAATTGTGTTGGTTTATCCATAGCACATGTTTTGTTGCCTCTTTTTTATTGAAAGATGTAGGTCGAAGTCTTTCAGATATATTGTTTTTGCTCAGTCACTTCATTGATTGCTTTTGATACTACTTTCTCTCTGGCCACTTGTGCATGGGTTAGCTTCCTTCCTGCACTTTCCTATATCCTGTGTAACCACCTCCATCTTTTCTGACGAAAGCTCTTTTCCCTTTTCCCTGTTGAATTTCCTTGCCAAGCCCTTAGTTCTGTGATGGTAAAAACCACCCCCGGCTTCCTGGGAAAAGGAGGGTGTTAGGGAGCCACCGGGGGCTCACCCAGACATTGACGTTTCATTACATTCAATGATGGTTTTCTGGGAAAAGCCCCTTGTGGCTCCCTAATGCTACCCACCCATGGAAACTGAAAACATGGGGACTTACCAGGGAGGAGAGAGAACTACCTTTATCACAACAAAGAAAAAAACATGGGCCGCAACACACAACCCAAGACCACAAAAGGCTGATGATGAGGAGGAACACTGACAAGATACCTGCCTGCCAGGACCCTGTTTTATTCTCAAAACCCCCACTCCATATTGTGGAGGTTGTGTGGTGCCCATATCTTAAGAAGCACATCAACAAACTGGAAAAGGTGCAAAGACATGCTACTAAGTGGCTCCCAGAACTGAAGGGCAAGAGCTACGAGGAGAGGTTAGAGGCATTAAATATGCCAAAACTAGAAGACAGAAGAAAAAGAGGTGATATGATCACTACGTACAAAATAGTAACAGGAATTGATAAAATCGATAGTAAAGATTTCCTGAGACCTGGAACTTCAAGAACAAGAGGTCATAGATTTAAACTAGCTAAACACAGATGCAGAAGAAATATAAGAAAATTCACTTTCACAAACAGAGTGGTAGACAGTTGGAACAAGTTAGGTGAGAAGGTGGTGGAGGCCAAGACCATCAGTAGTTTCAAAGCGTTATATGACAAAGAGTGTTGGAAAGACGGGACACCACGAGCGTAGCTCTCATCCTGTAACTACACTTAGGTAATTACACACACACACTTAAAGAAGACCTGGACAAAATAAGTATATGGAGCACCACTTGGTAAATGGAATTTAATGTGAATAAATACCATGTTATGGAATGTGGAATTGGAGAACATAGACCCCCACACAACCTATAAATTATGTGAGAAATCTTTAAAGAATTCTGATAAAGAAAGGGATCTAGGGATGGTTCTAGATAGAAAACTGTCACCTGAGGACCACATTAAGAACGTTGTGCAAAGAGCCTATGCTACGCTTTCTAACTTCAGAATTGCTTTTAAATACATGGATGGCGAAATACTAAAGAAATTGTTCATGAATTTTGTTAGGCCAAAGCTAGAATATGCAGCGGTTGTGTGGTGCCCATATCTTAAGAAGCACATCAACTAACTGGAAAAGGTGCAAAGACATGCTACTAAGTGGCTCCCGGAACTGAAGGGCAAGAGCTACGAGGAGAGGTTAGAGGCATTAAATATGCCAAAACTAGAATACACAAGAAAAAGAGGAGATATGATCACTACGTACAAAATAGTAACAGGAATTGATAAAATCGATAGGGAAGATTTCCTGAGATCTGGAACTTCAAGAACAAGAGGTCATAGATTTAAACCAACTAAACAAAGATGCCGAAGAAATATAAAAAATTCACTTTCACAAATAGAGTGGTAGACGGTTGGAACAAGTTAGGTGAGGTGGTGGTGGAGGCCAAAACCGTCAGTAGTTTCAAAGCGTTATATGACAAAGAGTGCTGGGAAGACGGGACACCACGACCGTAGCTCTCATCCTGTAACTACACTTAGGTAATTACACAGACAACACACACACACACACACACACACCCACTTACACAAAAACACTCACCCACACAACACACACCCACACACCCGCACACACAAAAACACACACCCACACTATGGATGAAAAGACTAAGAGATGTAGAAATATGAACAAGGTAGGGGAGTGAAAATGTTTGTAAAGGAGTCCGGTGATGGATGCATCCAAATGATGTGATAATTTCATCTAAGGCAGTATTACTTCTAAATATTACTCAAGAATATTCATACACTTTTATATACCCTGTATAATTACTTAATTATCTGTGAATAGAAAAAATGTCTGCTAACAAGAGTAGTACATGAAGACCAGGTAGGATTAGGAAGAAGTACCTTAACACTTCAATGTTCCGAACTGTCAGAATGTACCGAACTGTAAACAATCTGGAAATTCCCAAGTCCCACTCAGCAATGCCTAAAATAATTATATACACACATTTTAATGTCATCGGAATGACTAAGTGTTAATTAACATGAACAAAAGGAATAAATTGGTGTGGGGAAGTGAGGAGACTGGTAGAAGAGTGTGGTGTTGGCATTACCATTATTTCCAAAACATAAACACAATGTACTGATTTCAGAGTTCAATGTCATGAGTGAAAGTTTTGGTGACAAACAATATGAGAGAAAAATGTTGTGACTCAAATTTCAATGACTTGGATCTGGCAGTTTACATGGATAAATTTGGTCCACAGAAAGGTACCTACAAAATTAAGTTTTGATCATATTTGTTATTTTACATTAGAAGAATCCTTGTTTACTGTATATACTAATTACATGTAAACATGCACAAATATGTATGTATTAAATAATAAAGAAATATACATGCAAAACAATTGATGACAAATAATATTACTCCAAAGTATGGAAGAGAGACGAGTATTTTAAAGTCCAGAAGATTCCAAATGACATGAGCCGGATTTTCAAGGTTGCATTGTACACACACACCAGGATTCTTCAAGCTAAAATCCTAATAACATGTAAATGGTCACCCAATAAATTATCCTTAACCATAGGAATTTTAATAGTAAGAAAAATAATAACTTGAGTTGTAAGTACTAGCTCACACGGAAGTATACTAGTTCAATACCCTATGAAGTATTCATGGTAACAAATTGCTATGTTGCCTTTCCCTGAGCCAAATGAGCAAATACAAATTTTCCAGAAACATTCAGAGCACTACATTTGGGATCCAGACATATGGATATAAAATGATAAGCAGCTGCAGTGTTTGAGAGTGATTCTGATAATGTTGCCCATTTTGAAATGTGAAGAAATTAAATAGGGTGAAAGTTCATTCATCAGAGATGCAGCCACACCTGGTGCAACTTTAAACACAAATTATACATTGCAGAAGGGTTGTATCCCAAGAGCATCTTTTTTATTATTATGATGCAAACTAAGCTTATCAAGAATATATTATTTCTAAACCCGAAATACCATATTATTCCCCATAAGATACCCTTAAACTCAATTAAGGAACAGTATGCTAAAGTAAGAAAAAAGCTTAAACAAGATTTCCAAAATATAGTGAATTACAGCTAGGATAGTTCTGCTACCATATGCAACGTTATAGGGTCCAAAGATTTCTAAGAGTTAAAAGTTCTTTTCTTTAACCAAGTGGAAACATTGGCTATATTGATATTCCCAACTTCATGTACACAATTATATGATGAATGATTTAGTCCTGTTGAGTTTTTCCATCTGAAAAGAACCAACTACTCCTTATTTGTTATGTTTGTCACTGAACATACCAATCTTGTGGCAATTCTTTAATGAATGAGTCAATATAAACTACACTGTTAAATGTTCACAGTCTACTAATAACCCAACTAGCACATCATTTTCCAGTACTGCACACATGCCAATTGCCACAAAGCAAATATATTCAATGACAATTACAGTGTGCTTTGAATAAGTAAAGCTGCATACCAAAACTGAAGATACCACATTCTGAATAAATCACTGCACAGGAAAGTTTTTGCCATAGTACAGAAAAATAATAGCCAATAATGTTATATATATATATGGCTACTGATCACAAAGCAACAAGGCATGCTCTCAAAACAGAGCAACTAAAAAATTCTAAATTTACAAGACATACCTGCACCTCATTTACCCCAAAAACATGGGATGAGTTAGAAAATCCATGTTCACATCCATTCTCTGATTTCACACTCTCTTCGAGTGATTTTTCATTCCGGCCCATTTTCTTGTTGGGTGCAGAGGGGATTCACAAAAAAAAATGTTGACAAAAAATTAATTAAAAAAAAAAAAAGCATAATACAGGCCTCAGATACCTCAGAAGACTTCACATCTGTATTTCAGCACTGAAGTGCAATGGTGTAGTAGACACAGCAAGTATAAAAAATTTGTACATATTCATCTATTGGTCTAATACATATATGATACTTCCAGTGAAACTCAAATATCCTCACATAACTAAAGTTTGTCTCTACCATTTCTTTTACCAATCATTATTGTTTGACTTTGCTGATGGTGACTACTTGATCAAAATTTGATGAACGAGTAGAGGGAGTGACATTATTTTGGACAACTTACTTATGATCACTAAAAAAGTGACCCAAATAAATGTCCATGCATGTTACCCCCAGCACATACAAAAACAAACATCGAAACATAATTTATATAGTCCATACCTAGAGAACCTAATGTTACTCATGCACAGTGCATACCACACTCACCAAATGCACAGCTACTAGCAATTTTATCAAGCACTCTTATTCTATAATATTTAAAATGGTAACCAATTATTAAGGCTATTTATAACCAAACCTTTGAAAACTCTTTAGTGTTCACTACTTTCTTTCAAAGTTCAACAAATTAATTTTCATGTAGTGTCTTCATTAACTGGCCAAACAATTTTGTTAAAATTGGCCCCTGTAAGCAGCAGTTATACAATGAGGAGAGACATGTTTACTGCTGAAATAATTTTGTTGTTTATGTTTAAGGCTGGGCTTTAAATATTTATTTACTTACAATCCTTACAAGGCCCAATTACTGGGCCCTTGTAATATTTATTTATAATTTTCAAATACATATCTTGGTCCACATTATAAAAAAAAATGTAAGCCGTGAGAACCAAAATGTATGTTCAAAGATACTGTGAAGGATTTGGATTTGGCAGTCACCTAAGTGAAGCAGTTGCAACTTTATTAAAAGAGGAACGAAATACAAAAATATAAAGAGAGTATTAATGTTTCAATATTACATATAAAAAGATATCAGCTCTTTTGGATTTGTTGCATTAAATTATTTTTGATAAACTACTTTTCATTGTGATTCTTTCTAATAGAGAAGCAGTCAACTGCCATCATAGGCTCATTTTATGATATAATCAGCATCACTCTTATTTTGCAATTACATTAAAACAAAATGAACTTGTATATTACTATTGGGAATCGTTTCACATATAGGTTAGAAATATATATGAATGAGTTTGGGTGGATATAAATAAGAGATGCCTCATGAGGGTCACTAGGCCTTCTGAAGTTGCCTTTATTCTTATCTTCTTAAAACTGGAATAAACAAAATTCTTTATGTAACTTCAATAACTGCAGCAATGAAAGCCGTTTTGAGCATGGTATATAATTAAAATACAGTATATAAATATACTGAAAATCTGAGAGTCAATGGGACATGCAACCTCACCAAAAAGCTGCCCTTAAACACTAATGGTTCAGGGAGACCCCAAACTTTTGACCTACTCAAGGTAAAGACAAGTTCTTCTAAAGCCTCTACATTGTTGACATATTCATCCCATCTACTTCCTTCTGCAAAATCTGGGTCCTTTACTGGTATCATGCTTCATTATAAAAGTTAAGAAAGCTGATATTTCTTGTAAGATCTCAGAAGAATCAAATACAGTAATATAATTTGAGTCACTGTCCACTACTTTTAATTTATAATTGTGGATTTAACTAATCACTCTTAAAATATGTAGCTGCTGCATATTTATAATTCTTGTTGGGATTAAATATTTAGCATTGTACAATTGCTGAATTGTATCACCAGCAACTTAACTTACATCGAATCTTTGAGTATGAACATGTTGTATACAGAATACAAAATACTACTTGATACCTGCTTGATGAAGTTCTGGAAAGTTCTTCTACTCCCCAAGCCCGGCCCAAGGTCAGGCTTGACCTGTGAGAGTTTGGTCCATTAGGCTGTTGCTAGCAGCGGCTTGCAGGCCCACATATGAACCACAGCCCGGTTGGTCCGGCACTCTTTGGAGAAAATTATCTAGTTTTCTCTTGAAGATATCCACAGTTGTTCCGGCAATATTTCTTATGCTCGCTGGGAGGTTGTTGAACAACCGTGGACCTCTGATGTTTATACAGTGTTCTCTGATTGTGCCTATGGCACCCCCCCTACTCTTTACTGGTTTTATTATTAATTTTTTTCCATATCATTCACTCTAGTATGTTGTTATTTTACTGTGTAGATTTGGTACCTGGCCCTCCAGTATCTTCCACGTGTATATTATTTGATATCTCTTTTGTCTTCTTTCTAGTGAGTACATTTGGAGGCCTTTGAGATGATCCCAATAATTTAGGTGCTTTATTGCGTCTATGTATACCGCATATGTTCTCTGTATTCCTTCTGTTTCAGCACTCTCTCCTGCTCTGAAGGGGAAAGTGAGTACTGAGCAGTACTCAAGATGGGACAATACAAGTGATTCGTATAGTACAACCATTGTGAAGGGATCACTGGATTTGAAAGTTCTCGTAATCAATCCGATCATTTTTCTGGCTGATGCAATATTTGCTTGGTTATGCTCCCTAAACGTTAGGTCGTCGGACATCATTATTCCCAAATCCTTTACATGCTGCTTTCCTACTATGGGCACATTTGATTGTGTTTTGTACCCCTGTATAATGTTTAAGGTCCTCATTTTTACCCTACCTGAGTACGTACCTGGAATTTATCACTGTTAAACATCATGTTATTTTCTGTTGACCAGTCGTAAACTTTATTAATATCTGCTTGAAGTTTTTCAATGTCTTCAGCAAAGGTAATTTTCATGCCGATTTTTGTGTTACCTGCAAAGGATAATACGAAGCTGTGACTTGTAATTTTGTCTATATCTGATATGAGAATAAGGAAAAGCAGCAGTGCAAGGACTGTACCCTAAGGTACAGAGCTTTTAACTGCGCTTGGATATCACGCATAAAAAAATTGTCTGGATCTTCCACTTTCATGTTGTTTATTGGAGTGCTAAACATGTCCCCATCTTTTTCAGGATTTCACAAATTTCTTTGTCATCCTCCGTGTATGAACCTTCACTCGTACAAGTAGGTTCAATACTGGCAGTGATTTTTGCTTTTGATTTCGCATATGCGAAGAAGTATTTTGGATTTTTCTTTATTTCCTGAATTGCTTTCTGTTCTAACTGCCCTTCTTCAGTCTGATATGAGTTTTCAATTTCTTTCTTCAATCTCCCTATTTAAATTATTCCTTCTTTGTCGGGAAAGTCGTGTCTGCTTAAGCATTTCCGTTATTTTTTTCCTTCTTTTATAGTGTCATCTGCATTTTCTTTCTATGTTGAACCTGTTTCTGGCTTTCTTCAAATGAACATGTTTCAGACTTGATCTGCTTCCGAAGTCAGTTTTTCTATACCTTCTGTAGGACTTGTATTACTTAGAACAGTTTTGCATGGAATGTTTGTAAGTTCTCTGTTTATGGTCTCCCAGTTTATCCATTTATTATTAAAATTGAATTTACTGAATAACCCCTCTTGCTTGACCATTGTTTTAGGTCTATTCTAAGTATTGATGGTAGCTTGCACTGTGGAATATGTGGTATCTGATAAGTTCTCTGTTTATGGTCTCCCAGTTTATCCATTTATAATTAAAATTGAATTTACTGAATAACCCCTCTTGCTTGACCATTGTTTTAGGTCTATTCTAAGTATTGATGGTAGCTTGCACTGTGGAATATGTGGTATCTGATATCATAATGTCCCTGATTATGTCTTCATTGTTTGTAAAGATCAGATCTAGAATATTTTCATTTTTCGATGGCTCTGATATCTGCTGGTTGAGTGTAAATTTGTCACAGAATCTAAGCAGTTCTCTAATCTGTGGTTGGTTATATATGATATGTGTTGGTTATGTAGATATGTCCCGATAGATTTCCTGGTATAATATTATTGTTTGCTATTCTCCATCTTAGACTAAGCAAGTTGAAGTCACCTAGGAAGATAATATCAGGTATTGGGTTTGCCAAATTATCAAGGCTATTCTCTATTTTGTTTATCTCTTCTGCGAATTCCTCAGCCGTTGCATCTGGCGGTTTGTATATTAGAAAAATAACTAAGTTTATTTTATCTATTTTTACTCCGAGTACCTCTACCACCTCATTTGTAACATTAAGGAGCTCCGAGCATACAAGGTCTTCTCTAATATACAGACCCACTCCTCCATGTGACCTAATTACCCTATCACACCTGTATAGATTATATCCTAGTATCTAGATCTCACTGTCCAAGAATTTCCCTGCATGGGTTTCTGTGAAAGCTCCAAATACTGCATTTGACTCTGTGACGATGCCATTTATGAATTTTACTTTGTTTTTAGTCCTTGTATGTTGGTAAAGATGAATGAGGTTACTCTATTAGGGATAGTTTGACTGGGAGACTTTTTTGGCAAGCCCATTACGCGTGGCATATAGTGGTACCTCGGATTACGGATGTTCCTGTTTACGAGTTTTTCGGGTTACGAGCAGGATTTGCTCAGAAAATTTACATCAGAATACGAGCGTTGCCTCTGAATACGAGGGTGTTGATACACGTACAGGTCGACCTAGCAAGTGGTGGCACGACGATCATCCCTCAGTTTACTAGAGCCTTGCACCCCAGTGACTATCCCACCTGAATTCTTCACAAGGATTTACAGTATTTTGTCGGATTTTTGGCCATTTGAGCATAAAAGTTGTTATTATATATCTAGCCATGGGTCCCAAGAAAGTCAGTGGTAAGGTTCAACCTAGGAAAATAGCTGTGAGTAAAGGCAGTAGAGGATGTCCCTTCCTCATTAAGAAAATGTGTGAAGTATGGGAAGAACTACAAAGTTTTGTTGAAAAAACTCACCCAGATAAAGCTGTAGCAGGCCGTTGCATTGACCTTTTAAATGACAATGTGATGTCTTACTACAGACAAGTGTTGCAATGAAGGGAAAAACAATCTTC